ACCTGGCCCTCCAGCGTCCTCGTAGCCGTCCTCCTCAAATGGCCCTCCATCGTCCTCGTAGCCGTCCTCCTCACCCGGCCCTCCAGCGTGATCGTTGCCGTCCTCCTCGCCTGGCCCTCCAGCGTCCTCCTAGCCATCCTCCTCAACTGGCCCTCGAGCGTCCTCCTAGCCATCCTCCTCACCTGGCCCTCCAGTGTCCTCCTAGCCATCCTCCTCAACTGGCCCTCAAGCGTCCTCCTAGCCGTCCTCCTCACCCGGCCCTCGAGCGTCGTCCTAGCCGTCCTCCTCACCCGGCCCTCCAGCGTGATCGTCGCCGTCCTCCTCACCTGGCCCTCCAGCGTGGTCGTAGCCGTCCTCCTCACAAGGCCCTCCAGCGTGGTCGCAGCCGTCCTCCTCACCCGGCCCTCCAGCGTCCTCGTAGCCGTCCTCTTCACCTGGCCCTCCAGCGTCCTCGTAGCCGTCCTCCTCACCTGGCCCTCCAGAGTCCTCCTATCCGTCCTCCTACCCTGCCCTCCAGCGTCCTCGTAGCCGTCCTCCTCACCTGGCCCTCCAGCGTCCTCGTAGCCGTCCTCCTCACCTGGCCCTCGAGCGTCCTCGTAGCCGTCCTCCTCACCTCGCCCTCCAGCGTCCTCCTAGCCGTCCTCCTCACCTTGCCCTCCAGCGTCCTCGTAGCCGTCCTCCTCACCCGGCCGTCCAGCGTACTCGTAGCCGTCCTCCTCACCCAGCCCTCCAGCGTCCTCATAGCCGTCCTCCTCACCCGGCCGTCCAGCGTCCTCGTACCCGTCCTCCTCACCCGACCTTGCAGCGTCTTCGTAGCCGTCCTCCTCAGCTGGCCCTCCAGCGTCCTCCTAGCCGTCCTCCTCACCCAGCCCTCCAGCGTCCTCGTAGCCGTCCTCCTCACCTGGCCCTCCACCGTCCTCGTAGCCGTCCTCCTCACCGGGCACTCAAGAAATCCAGAAACTGTGTGCGTGAATGCACCTTGCCACTGGGCGAGAACACACTGCACGTGTGGCAAGAGGAGTGGCAGGAATAGCGGGACAGTACGTGAGGCGTGTAAGGAGACCTGAGAGCCTGCTTCACTGGACAGTAAGTTTAAAATAATTCAGGCAAACTTTATTTAACATTCCCCCCTCTCTTTTCTCCAATCAAGTTTTATTGCTATATTTTACATATATATAGTGATTATTTGAGAATTTGTACTTGTGTGTGATAAAACTTGTTTCTTTTCTCCACATTCTACTTCCCTTCCTTCAACTCCTTCTCTTCTCCTGATTATAAAGCTTCCTTTGTACACTTTCCTTCACTTCTCTTTTATTTGTTTTATTTTTACACGCTTTGCCTCCCCCGCCTGTGTCCCTCCCCTGCGAACAGCTTCTTCACGTTTCACAATAGTGTTATTCATTCTGCTTCTTATTGGAAGTCGTGGTTTCTCACACCAGGGAGACAGTGCTATGTTACACATGTGTCTCATTTATTTCACTTGAGCATGGTCTAAGGTGCATGCATTTACTTAGAAATATCTCAAGCTTTTCCTTGTTTGTGGGAGAATAAGTTTGCACTGTGTTAAAAAAAATCTTCCTTATAAATTCACCACTTAATAGGCATTTGGGCTGCTCCTAAAGTGTTTTGTTTTGTTTTCTTTCCCAGAACTGGGGATGTTCCTAAAGCTTAGCAATTACAAACTATAATGCTATAAATAAGCATGTTCCTATATTGCAGTGATGTGATGCTTTTAATGTTTTTGTGAAAAAATAAAACAGGGGAATAACTCTGTCAAGTGGAGCCTCTAGTCCTAGATTTTTTTAATTTCCACAGCGGTCGCCCCAGTCTGTTCTCGCACCAAC